GCCCTGGAAAGGATCTGCAGAGACGTTTGTTTCTACTAAAGCAGATTTAAACTAAAATAAAGGTGAAACACCGGTCGTAATGTAGATGTGTACTTATTCAGCCCTGTTTTTATTGACTTCAGTGTGTGAATCATGTACGGTGCTGGTAACAACTTGAAAATCTTCATTGGAAGTTTTGGTTTTAGTACGGAAACCTGAACATTCGCGTGGATGTTTACCAAACCGACTTTAACCCCAGAAATGTCAATAAAATCATTGTTTTGTTTCTGCAATCTGATGTTTGAGAAGTTGACTCCATTAGTGATAACTGCAAACCAACTTGGCTCAGTGCTATAGCTGTTAGCTAATTGTGATTAGCTGTGGCGGCCATCTTTAATTGGGTTGACACCAAATTAGTGGTTGAATTCAGCTGCCAACGCAGCACACACACACACACACACACACACCCACGCACACACCCCCCCCCCCCACACACACACGTGCGCACACATACAGACACACACACACACACACACACACACACACATACACATACACATACACATACACACACACATACACACGCACACTTACAAACACATGCACGCACGCACGCACACACACATGCACGCATACACATGCACAAACACACACACACGCGCACACAAAACACACACGCACACACGCGCTCACACAGACACATGCACACAAAAACACGCACTCACTCACTCACTCACTCACTCACTCACTCACTCCTGTCAGTGTATCTGCTGTGAGCTCCACTTCTTGAACACCGCATCGCGGTAGATGAGAAGGTTCTGAAGTTGTTGGTAAGTTCCTGGTGTTCCTCTCAGGTCAGCCAATCAATCCTCAGTGCCGCATCTACCCTGAGGAGATGATCCAGACTGGCATCTCGGCCATCGACGGCATGAACAGCATCGCCAGAGGACAGAAGATCCCCATCTTCTCTGCTGCTGGTTTACCCCCACAACGAGGTGAGGCTCTTTGTTCTCCAAATCTCCAGAGAACAAAAACTAATTATTCACATTTTTCCGTAAAGCCGGGAAAGCCGCTGACAGGCTGGATGTTCAGACCTTATCATGAACCCGATGATCCCAGTAGCTCAGTATGGAGGCAAGTCGCAGGGTTCCCACTTGTCCTGGAAAACCTGGAAGATGGTAGACCAATTTTCCAGTCATGGAAAACATGGAAAATGCGAAAACAAGGAAAATGTCCTGGAAATGTTTTTGTTTTCCTGGAAAATAATTTTTCGGAGTGGGTGTGGGCGGAGTTTTATTTCTGGGTATGAATTCAGGCTGACTGCAATAACTGGTAGTCAGGATAAATCACATGCTTGTAAAGGCCCAGGAGCACGAACCCTTCAGCTGACTAAATCTCAACCAGCTGTTTGTTGGGTTTGAGCCGACGGCTCCTGCCTTCCACCATCGACATATAAATACTGGACAATTCATTTCCATAGGCTCCAGTAACACGTTTTTGAGGCCAAACGGGAGGTGGCCACCACCGCCATTTTGACCGTGTCACAGGTTCCGTCAAGCCCAGACAATTCCACAAAAGGGAAGAGAGGTGGAGCTGAGGGTGGGGCTGTAAGGCTGGGATCAACTGACGACACCCGGTTGAACTAGCTACAAGCTTACCTGAAGCTAACCCAAAGCTAACGCGAGGTGGGAGCTAAGCTAACGGAGGTAGCAACCTAGCTACAACCGGAGTTAACTGTGCACAACACCAGAGCTTCTGAGTCAGAGATACGCCGGGCTGACCGCTGGGTAAAACCGGGTGGAACACAGAGGTCTCTGAGACCTCCACACGCTGGCAGCCCGCCGCAGCAGACAAGCGCCGCTGCGATCTGAGATGTGCAGAGCTGCCGCTGGGGAGAACCGGGTGGAAAGGTTTCCATCCCAGAGCTCCACAAGCCGGCAGCCCGCGCAGCAGACAGAAGCCGCGATCAGACAGAGATGCGCCGAGCTGCGGGGAGGGGAGAAACGGGTGGAAAACATCGGTCTCCCGAGAGCTCCACAAGCCGATAGTCGGAACCCAGCTCCACCAACATGTTATATTTCAACCCATTTTCTAAAGTGCAGCATTATGTTAAATGCACGGGTATTTACCCTATTACATTTAAATGTCATGGCTAAACAGTACATGTTAAAATCTAAGCTCAGCTGGGCAGTGACCTAAAATACATAAATATAATTTTACTTACTGAAAAAAATGAAGTGGAGACTCCTTGGACGCTCTTTTAGTGCAATTAATGCCACAGCAAGTCATTTTGTCCAACAATTGCACATATCATATCCAAAAAAGAACACACAAACAGAGACTCAAAATCCCGGAACAGTTTCCAGGCCAGACCGAGGCTCTACTGAGGCCTTTCCACGGAGCTAGCTCTGTGGTCACGTGGGTCTGATGCTCATTAATTATACAGAATTTTAGGCTTTTAATACACTTAAACAGAAGAGTGAGAAAAAAATTCACCCCCCTCAGAGTTGTCATGAGTGTAAACTAGATCATTTAAACCAAAAACATGTTTTGGTACCAGGCTGTAAACATGTTTATTTCTGCTGTGAAATTGGTATTTTTAACATGGGAGTCAATGAGGATTTGCTCGCTCCTGACACCAGCCCCTAGTGGATGAGGGTGGAACTGCAAATGTTGGTACTTCCGGGTTTGACTCAATTTTAGAGCTCCATTGTGGGGGCTTGCCGTCACACCGATGCACAGCTGTGCAGCACTCGGGGAATGAAATCAGGCTGCTCTTCAGTGAACAAGGATCTGTTATTTAATAAAGTCGCTGTTTGTTTATTATCTTGTTGTTCCTCTCAAAGTTCCCAGAATGAGGAGTCCGAGTTTTAGAAAGGATCTAGAGGCAGAAACAAACGCTGGCTGCAAAGATCACGCCATTGTGCTCAGTGAAACGATATCGATTGGTTCAGTTTATCGAAGCACTTCGGCACAATTCAGTGCTCCGTTTTTGTGTGTTGGTCACAACATCATTATCCAGGATAATGGAGCGCTGCTGAGTGACAGGCTGTTGGTTCCTGATGGCTTTCAGCTCACAAACCATCGACCTTCTGCTGAAGCTTTCAGGGACAACATTTATTATTCGAACTGTCAAACGATGATAAAAAAAACTTAGCCAGGTACAGAAGTCTTCCAAATGTTTTACCCAGGTGTAAAATAACAAAACAGGAGTTTAAGGTGAGGTTTAATTGCATCAGACACGGGACGTTTATTAAAACATCTTTGAAGTGATCTCTGATAAAATCCTTACAGTAAGAAAAATAAACATCGAACAAGAGTCAGGAACATTCTGCCTGCGTGCCTTTGAGCAGGATTGGGCTTTAATGTGCAGGTCAAACACTCAGGATGTTTCTAGAGTCTGATCTGAGTTCAGCTTTGTCTCCTCTCACCTCCAGATCGCTGCTCAGATCTGCCGCCAGGCCGGCCTCGTGCAGAAATCCAAGGACGTGATGGACTACAGCGCCGAGAACTTCGCCATCGTCTTTGCTGCCATGGGAGTAAGCAGATACCCCCCCAGCCCCCTAATCCTCTCTCTTAACCCCTATGTGACCCCCCCCCTGCCTCTTTTATTCACCAGGTGATTAAACTTTAAGCCCCCCTCGTTACTTCTGCACTTGTGAGCATATCCCTCAGCCATGCTTCCTAAAGCAGCGTGCCTTTTAGCGCTGACAGGAACACAGTATCAAGTTCTCTGCCTCTCAGCTGCTCCTTCTGTTGGCTGCACACACACACACACACACACGCACGCACGCACGCACGCACACACACACACACACACACACACACACACAGACAGGTCACTCTGGCTGGAGGGTGTGAATAGGGATTCGGCACACGAAGATGCATTTTTTAACGGGATGCATCCATTTAACAGCCAAAACAACCAGATGTTACACAAACAGCAGCGGTCAGACCTTTAGTTTAGCTTCCTGTTTAAATCCTGAACATTCTGATTTATGTAGCAATTGATAAATATTAATTATGACCAATAAGATGTGATATTCCAGGGTTCTTTGCTTCTTCGGGAACCATAAAGACACTTCGTATTAATTCAGACAGAGTCGGTATAAAGTTAAAAGGCATTTTATTCTCTTCTAAGCTAATGATTATACATGACGAGACATGAATAATGAGAGGTGGTGTGGTGGAAGCTAGAGGTTGTAGCAACCGTTCTTTGTATTTGACGAGAAATTGTGAAATCTGGGTGTAAAAGAGTTTGTTTGTTTATAAACTAGAGAGTTAGTTACTGATAAAAACCTCATCAGACACTAGTATGCAGGCTGACGATACCCTTGTATGAGCTGCTCCCGGCCGTCCGGAGGGTTGCGGTCAGAGTGGTGAGGTCACCGGACGTCAAGACCACGATACTCAGAGATTAGTAGCTTCCTCTCAGTTCAGCTTCCCCGGCCATGAGATGCAACCCGGGGTCCGCAGGTTCGAGGTCCAACGTGGGTGTCTGAGTTGAAGTAGCTCTGAAAAGAGCTGTTGTGTCTGCGATCACTTGCAGCGTCGTGGCAAGGTTTGGACTTGAGGTCAAAGGAGGTTGTTTCAAAAGAGTCTTCTTTCCCGATTTGGCCAAATCGGGGGTCAGCTGTAAACTGAATTAATCAGGAAGTAAATCCTGTTTTATTAAACTACTTTGTTATGATGTCTGGCCGAGTTTGGCCAATCAGAATTTGACACGTTTCTGAGTATTTACTAAAATCCCTCAGAAAGCCACGCCCTCCTCAGATACGAAGATGTTTTTAACCTTAACATGCATCTTGATGTAATGTGTATGAGTGTAAACAACGATTAACTTGTTAAATCAAACACTGATCATAAAATCTGAAATGGATCATTGTAAGAACAATATTCATTTTAAATTCATTGATTTAAGCACAGATTATTCAAACATTTGATTTAAACGTCTTGTTCATTCATCACATATGATTATTTAACTTATAACTCTAAAATCATGGAGTCTTCACTTATTCAGAGTGAAGAATGTTGACGTCTGGCGTTCACAGAGAGTGCAGGACCCTTGGGAGAGAATGTTTGTTTGAATGTTTTGTCTTCATGGAATGTCAACACGCGCTGAGCAGAACCTTCTGGATTTAGAAGGTCACACAAAGTGGATTTTTTTCTGGAGATGAAAGGTTATTATGTTGGCCAATATATAGGAGAAAATTCACTCTTTTGGACGTTTCGTTTATAACAAACACAAGTGTTTGTTATAAACGAAACCGGTTTGAGTTTTGAGGTTTTAAACAAGGGTTAACACTCGCTTATTAGAGATGAAGATAATGGGACGTGATAATGTGACTTTATATTCAGACATCTGAGCATCTATTGGTTTTTTAGTTCCTCTTTAGACTGGATAAACGGACTAAAACACACGCCACCAGTTAAACCTGACCTGAATCCTTGTCTTTCAGGTCAACATGGAAACGGCTCGCTTCTTTAAATCCGACTTTGAGGAAAACGGCTCCATGGACAACGTCTGCCTTTTCCTGAATCTGGCCAACGACCCCACGTAAGCGACACTCGCCCTCGGCGGCTACGTCCAGCCTGACATTTAAACCGTCTGATAATCTGCCTGTGTTCTGTGGCCAATCAGCATCGAGCGCATCATTACGCCCCGCCTGGCCCTGACGACAGCTGAGTACCTGGCCTACCAGTGTGAGAAACACGTCCTGGTCATCCTGACGGACATGAGCTCCTACGCCGAAGCTCTGAGAGAGGTGCTCGCTCTAACATGATCTTCATACTCAGGTCCACTTGTGACTGTTCACGTTTAAAGCTCATCATAAAAGCTGAAGATCTTTGTCGACATGATTATCCCGAGCCCAACCATCTCCGTGCTGCAGCTGCAGCTGCTGTGGAGCGGATCCAGCAGAAAATAACATTCACCCCTAAACTCAAAGGTTTCACGACTCGATTAGTCTGATCAGAACAGAGGATGTGAGCTAGCGTTAGCCTCACTGTAAGCTAACTCCTCCGTGTCAGCAGCAGAGATGGGAGTTTAAAGATTAAGATGGAAAACAGAAGCTTCAGCTCTGAAGAAGAGCGGGTAAACTCTGGTGGAGCTGCTGAAGAGATAAAAACGAAAAACCTCAGAGAACGTTTAGGGTTTGATAAAGAACCACTTCCTGTGTGTGGTTTACATGTGCAGCATTAGCAGCACCTGAGAACACTTCCTGCTTTCAATAAGGAAGTCTTTTAACTGTATTGTGTTCTGTTTTGAGTTTAATGCCCCCCCCCCCCCCCCCCCCGGGCCCCCGCCCCCCTGGTTGTGTCTCTGGAATGGTTTGTACCGTTTGCCGTCTGTTTGCAGCACAATGCGCGTCTCTGAATGGTGCATGTGCATTTTTCGTCTGCGTGACCTTGGGACACGTGGAGGCCGTTCACGGGGCGGCTTGATGGGTGATTCAGCCCGCACAAAGCCCCGCGCCGTCATCACCTTTCCGCCGTTCTCATTCACACGTGAAGGTTGAGGGGTTTCTGCATTGAGTCGACTGTTCGTGATTGTGCGGCGTTCCCATCAACCTCTGAACTTTGAAGACAAATGAATGGCTTTCCTTCGCGCTTACCTTGAATTCACTTGACTTCTGGAAGGAGATTTAGCTTTTGGTCATTTCTGTCGAGGATGCGAAAAAGGGTGGGGAACATTTACAGCCGGAGGCTTGCCTCTCCTGCAGAATAATGGAGGTGGCTGCTTCACTTGACTCCCAAAGTTTAAGGATTTCTCTCTTTGTTTATGAACAATCATCAGCAAAAAGGCACAGAGAGAAGCTCTCGTGTTGTATGGATCCATTTGTGTCACCGCTCTCACTCTTACTCTACTTTTAATTCTGTTTTTGAAAATAAAAACCCATAAATGATGACCGACCTACAGAGATCTTCCAGCCCTGTTCTGGTTCACCACGTCTGTGTAAACACGGCTTGTTTACCCTTCCACTTCCTTCCTGTTGAGACCAAACATGAAGAATAAAGCCGCTACGCTTGCAGTCCATCCTAAACATTAAACATCTGGTGCTTTTGGCATCCGTTTCTATTTTTAATCGGAGGATTAAAGTGTAAATATTTCCTCAGTAATCTCTGCCCTCCACCTTTAAAAAGAAGGTTCTGGTTCTGCTCGTCTGACGACAAATGATAAACGACCCGCACTTGTACAGCGCCTTTGACAGTCAGAGGACTCCAAAGTGCTTTACACTACTGTGCATCGTTCATCCATTCACATGCTGATGGTGGTGATGAGCTACGATGTAGCTACAGCTGCTCTGGGGTGCACTGGCAGAGGCGAGGCGCCACCGGTCCCTCCCACCACCACCAGCTGGCAGGGTGGGTTAAGTGTCTTGCCCAAGGACACAACAGCTGAATTCTCTGTCTGAAGCCGGGATTGAACCTGCAACCTCCTGAGCTACTGCTGCCCTTTGAGGAAGACTTAAAATCAGAAACTTGGAAGTGTTAGTACCAAACTTGAGAATGGATAAAAGATCATCAGAGATTTGATTTGTTTATTTTTGCTGATGAAAAACTCAGATGTGCTCTTTTAATCGTGGGTTCATGCAGAACCAGTGTGCTGAGGAGCAGCAGGATGAGAACAGTGATGGTTCCTCACTGAGTTCTTCTGGTGTTGGGTTTGGTCAAGCACGTGACTGTGTCCTGTTCTGTCACTGTGAACACCCCCCCAAGGAGCTGATCTGGCTCACGCCCGTGCTAAATGCGAGGCTCTGATGTCTCACATGTCTGCTACTTGTTAGCAGCTCCTGGGAAACAGGCTCTGTTGGAACGCAGCCACCAACTCCCGGAGGAGCAGATTTAACTTTTCTGTCGAAGTTACGGAGACAAGAATTGGATAAACTTGGTTATGATGCTTGACTAAAAGGATACACTTTCCCCTGTTTTCAGTTTTAGAAGATAGAAATGAGAGTTGTTCTGGATTCCTCAGGTCTCTGCTGCCCGGGAGGAAGTACCCGGCCGTAGAGGTTTTCCAGGTTACATGTACACCGATCTGGCCACCATCTACGAGCGTGCGGGCCGAGTGGAGGGCAGAAACGGCTCCATCACCCAGATCCCCATCCTCACCATGCCCAACGATGGTGAGGCAGCCATTTTCTGTTAACCATGGCGTGTTACAGCACGTGTACAACGTGTAACACCATGTGATACGTTTCACAGTCTGTTAAAATATGTGTTACTGTGTGTGTACATTGTGTGTTATGTGTTGGTGTGTGTTATGATGTGTGTATTACACGTTGGTGTGTGTTATGGTGTGTATATTGTGTGTTATGTGTTGGTGTGTGTTATGATGTGTGTATTACACGTTGGTGTGTGTTATGATGTGTGTATTACACGTTGGTGTGTGTTATGATGTGTGTATTACACGTTGGTGTGTGTTATGATGTGTGTATTACACGTTGGTGTGTGTTATGATGTGTGTATTACACGTTGGTGTGTGTTATGGTGTGTGTATAGTGTGTGTTACATGTTGGTGTGTGTGTTATGGTGTGTGTACAGTGTGTGTTGCACGTTGGTGTGTGTACAGTGTGTGTTACACGTTTGTGTGTACATTGTGTGTTACATGTTGGTGTGTGTACAGTGTGTGTTACGGTGTGTGTTACACCTTGGTGTGTGTACAGTGTGTTACACGTTTGTGTGTACATTGTGTGTTACATGTTGGTGTGTGTTATGGTGTGTGTACAGTGTGTGTTACACGTTGGTGTGTGTTACGGTGTGTGTACAGTGTGTGTTACACATTGGTGTGTGTACATTGTGTGTTAAGTGTTGGTGTGTGTTATGGTGTGTGTACAGTGTGTTACATGTTGGAGTGTGTTACGGTGTGTGTACAGTGTGTATTACACCTTGGTGTGTGTACATTGTGTGTTACATCTTGGTGTGTGTTATGGTGTGTGTACATTGTGTGTTACACGTTGGTGTGTGTTACGGTGTATGGACAGTGTGTGTTACATGTTGGTGTGTGTACAGTGTGTGTGTTACACGTTGGTGTGTGTTATGGAGTGTGTACAGTGTGTATTACTCGTTGGTGTGTGTTACACATTGGTGTGTGTTACGGTGTGTGTTACACATTGGTGTGTGTTACGGTGTGTGTACAGTTTGTGTTACACGTTGGTGTTATGGGGTGTGTACAGTTTGTATTACGCGTTGGCGTGTGTGTTGCAGCGTGTTAAAACGTTTGTGTTGTGATGTGTGTTACGTTTAGAAGGCAAGTTGTGATTGGTTGTATTTTCCGCCCAGATATCACTCATCCCATTCCCGATCTCACTGGGTACATCACAGAGGGTCAGGTCTACGTTGACCGACAGCTGCACAACAGACAGGTAATTCAGCCGGACTACTGTGGAACTAGGATTGGGACAATATAACATTGAACGTGTACCGAGTTTACTAACTTGTAACATGTTTAGTAGCTGTGACTTTTGTTTTGTAACCAGTAACTTCATTTTTTTTTGCATGAAATTCTCATTTGTGACATGTAACTTCGGTACAAAACATGAAACTTTTGTTTTGTAACTTGCAGAAAAAAAATCAATGTACAAGTTTCAATCACAACTTTCAAAACACAAATCTCAGTCTACAAGTACAAAACTCAGGTCTACAAGTACAAAACTCAGGTCTACAAGTACAAAACTCAGGTCTACAAGTACAAAACTCAGGTCTACAAGTACAAAACTCCAGTCCACTAGTACAAAACTCAGGTCTACAAGTACAAAACTCCAGTCCACTAGTACAAAACTCAGGTCTACAAGTACAAAACCCCAGTCTACAAGTACAAAACTCCAGTCTACTAGTACAAAACTCAGGTCTACAAGTACAAAACCCCAGTCTACAAGTACAAAACTCCAGTCTACTAGTACAAAACTCCAGTCTACTTGTACAAAACTCCAGTCTACTAGTACAAAACTCCAGTCCACTAGTACAAAACTCCAGTCCACTAGTACAAAACTCAGGTCTACAAGTACAAAACTCCAGTCTACTTGTACAAAACTCCAGTCTACTTGTACAAAACTCCAGTCCACTAGTACAAAACTCCAGTCCACTAGTACAAAACTCCAGTCCACTAGTACAAAACTCCAGTCCACTAGTACAAAACTCAGGTCTACAAGTACAAAACCCCAGTCTACAAGTACAAAACCCCAGTCTACAAGTACAAAACTCCAGTCTACAAGTACAAAACTCCAGTCCACTAGTACAAAACTCCAGTCTACAAGTACAAAACTCCAGTCTACAAGTACAAAACTCCAGTCTACAAGTACAAAACTCCAGTCTACAAGTACAAAACTCCAGTCTACAAGTAGAAAACTCCAGTCTACAAGTAGAAAACTCCAGTCTACAAGTACAAAACTCCAGTCCACTAGTACAAAACTCCAGTCCACTAGTACAAAACTCCAGTCCACTAGTACAAAACTCCAGTCCACTAGTACAAAACTCCAGTCCACTAGTACAAAACTCCAGTCTACAAGTACAAAACTCCAGTCTACAAGTACAAAACTCCAGTCTACAAGTACAAAACTCCAGTCTACAAGTACAAAACTCCAGTCTACTAGTACAAAACTCCAGTCTACAAGTACAAAACTCCAGTCTACAAGTACAAAACTCCAGTCTACAAGTACAAAACTCCAGTCTACAAGTACAAAACTCCAGTCTACAAGTAGAAAACTCCAGTCTACAAGTACAAAACTCCAGTCCAATAGTACAAAACTCCAGTCCACTAGTACAAAACTCCAGTCCACTAGTACAAAACTCCAGTCTACAAGTACAAAACTCCAGTCTACAAGTACAAAACTCCAGTCTACAAGTACAAAACTCCAGTCTACAAGTACAAAACTCCAGTCTACAAGTACAAAACTCCAGTCTACAAGTACAAAACTCCAGTCTACAAGTACAAAACTCCAGTCTACAAGTACAAAACTCCAGTCTACAAGTACAAAACTCCAGTCTACAAGTACAAAACTCCAGTCTACAAGTACAAAACTCCAGTCTACAAGTACAAAACTCCAGTCTACAAGTACAAAACTCCAGTCTACAAGTACAAAACTCCAGTCTACAAGTACAAAACTCCAGTCTACAAGTACAAAACTCCAGTCCACTAGTACAAAACTCCAGTCCACTAGTACAAAACTCCAGTCTACAAGTACAAAACTCCAGTCTACAAGTACAAAACTCCAGTCTACAAGTACAAAACTCCAGTCTACAAGTACAAAACTCCAGTCTACTAGTACAAAACTCCAGTCCACTAGTACAAAACTCCAGTCTACAAGTACAAAACTCCAGTCTACAAGTACAAAACTCCAGTCTACAAGTACAAAACTCCAGTCTACAAGTACAAAACTCCAGTCTACAAGTACAAAACTTTAGGTCACTGCCATAACCCCGGTTTTCTGAGTAACATGAGTGAGATGTCTTACTATGGGATACGCCCCTCCACGGATTCCTCAGAAGCACTTATCGCAATATGCCAATCCTGATTGGTCAGTGACCGTGACGTACGCGTCACCTGCTACTATAAGTAGCAAGCGTCCCAACGTACGCGTCATTCAAGATAAACACCTCTTCTCGCTTCGCCCAGCAAGAAGGGTTGTCTGGTGAGACATCACTCTCATGTTACTCAGAGAACCGGGGTTACAACAGCAACCTAAAGTTCTCTTTCTTAACATTTGTTTCGATGTCGCACTATGGGATATGGAGACTCCCGTATTGCCAGACAGCTTATCCAGCGATCACCAACCTACAGGGGTACGTCTTGGCCTGCTGAGGACCCCACACCCAGAATCATGTGGGTGATAGCAGGGGCCGAGACATCAAGCTTATAGAAGCATGCAAATGCAAGTGGAGAAGCCTAGCTTGCTGCAGCACAAATCTCCTGAACAGACAGCCCTCGAAAAAGGGCCCAAGAAGCAGACAAGCCCCTAGTACAGGGGTCCTCAATGGTCCGAGGGCCACTCACAAAAAAGACCCAGAAGCAAGAGGGCCGGACGGGGGGGGGGGGGGGGGGGGGGGGGGGGGTTGCTTGCTGCTTCTGTTGCTGTTGTTTGGATCGCTGGCTGTAATGTTCATAACACACAAGCTTGCAATATAAAGAAGAACAGCGTCTGTCCCCCTCCAGCTCGGCTGTGTGACTGCACTAACCTGTCCTATACCTGTCCTCACCCTGTAACCCTCATGTCCATGCTGTCTCTGGAGGACCAGATAGGAAACAAGATCTCCTGTAACTTAAAATGAACCAAGGCTTCCTCCCTGTTTTTTTAGCTGAATTTAACATCAGTTTATCATCATGAAACAAAAGAGTAACGCCCCCCCGAGACGGCCAGATTACCTAAGTGTCTTCCACTTCAGGATAATCTCTCTGGATTACAAATAGTTTAGACTTGAACTTTGCCCTTTCCGGGACTGATGGGCAGCAACAGCTTCTCCTCTAAGGTCGCTGCTCATGTTAACACACGCCTGTGTGCTCCGGAGCAGTTCATACATAAACGTGATCAGCAGCTTGTGGCTGGTTCTTTTTCCTAATTCTTGAGGATCGGTGATGAGGAAGATGAGGTTTTTTAATCCCTGCCTTTGATGAGAATAAATCACCACCTTCCTTCTCCTGCCTTTCAGATTTACCCCCCCATTAACGTGCTGCCTTCCCTGTCTCGTCTGATGAAGTCTGCCATCGGTGAAGGGATGACCAGGAAGGACCACGCCGATGTGTCCAACCAGCTGGTAACTTCCTGCCCTCCATGTGGCGGTTAGCGGGTTTAGCGTTAGCGTTTATGCTAACATGTGTCTCTGTGTCAGTACGCCTGCTACGCCATTGGTAAGGACGTCCAGGCCATGAAGGCTGTGGTTGGAGAAGAGGCCCTGACCTCTGATGACCTGCTCTACCTGGAGTTCCTGCAGAAGTTTGAGAAGAATTTTATTGCCCAGGGTAAGCAGATGTTTTTATTTGATTATAAAGTCAAATGTGGCAGATCTTCCTCTGCAGAGGTTTGTAGTTTTCCTGCTCAGATAAGAAAACAGTTTTAGTGACTAAATGAGAGGACATGAGCAGCCATGGACCCTCTCCACTCTCACTAAATCATTTTAGATCCTCCAGCATCTTTGATCTGGGTCTGAACATCATCTGAGCTTCATAGACACGAAGCAGCAGTTCTGGTGTTTGTGCCCGGATTAAATATCCTGAATCTTAGCTTTTATTCGAGGTTTTGTTTTTGAGTCTGTAATAAACAGCGTAAAGCAACAGTTTATAGTTTTATAGGCAATAAGTAAAAATTCAAAGGTTTTAATTCTAAATAACAGCAACATATAAAAATAACGACATTATAAATAATTTAGTATAATTAGTAAATAAAGACGGATGCTGCGATTTGAGGCGGTTAGTTTTACCTGTAATAAATTTTAGGGTTGGGCATCGAGCATCGATTGGAACCGGTTCCAACTGTTAGTTTTCCCCGGAATCGTTCAAAGTTTTTGTTTTCGATTTCTAGTATGCTGACGGAAGAGGAATCCGCGGCCGATCTCCGTGAAAAATAAACGTGATCTGCAAATTTTGATCAACGCTTTCCAGAGCTGATCACACCAGCTCTCTGTGTGCAGCACCGAGTCCCCCCCCCCCCCCAGATATAAACAAACGCGCCGAACTTTTACTCCGTGATGTAAACTTTAACTCCCGCAGCGTAGAGGAAACTTGTTAAATACGTCAACACGGTGGATTTAATGGAAGCTTTAAAGAACAAACTCTGGACGGTGTGAGGTGAGTTTGTCTCACTGCAGAAATAAAAACACACACACGGAGCGTCAGCAGTCAGACGCAGCCGCTCACCAACACTCTGTGTGTGTGTGTGTGTGTGTGTGTGTGTGTGTGTGTGTGTGTGTGTGTGTGTGTGTGTGTGTGTGTGTGTGTGTGTGTGTGTGTGTGTGTGTGTGTGTGTGTGTGTGTGTGTGTGTGTGTGTGTGTGTGTGTGTGTCAGAAGGCTGAACAATAACCTGTAGAATAATTAAAGTCATCATGCTAGAGCAGCTTCTCTGTGGTGGACCACGCCTGCTTCTGCCACAATTAATAATAATAATAATAATAATAATAATATTTTTTATTTCCTTTCTGAACTATTTCTGTTGAGAGTTTTAATGTTTAAATCTGTTAGATTGTTACTGACAGCAGCTACGTTTAAGTTTCACTTCCTGTTCTGACTGATGCTGCTGCAGCATGGAGGTGTAGATCTCAGTCATCCTGGACATGATCATCCTGAGAGCTTTAGCTGAAAACAGCTGGACGTTTAAGGATATGTTGGAGACATTTAGCCTCTCATCCCAGAGGCTTCTTCCAGACTTTGATTGTGGTCAGAAACAAACACACTGGTTGTGCTGCAAGTCTTTTTCTTTTGTTCTCCAAAGCATGTTTTTGTCTAAATGAAGGTGATGTTGTTGTTCATAGAGTTAAAATTCATGTTGAAGTTAAGATTATTTCATCCAGTAGGACCTGTGGTTAGCTGGCTCATGTAAAGCATGTCATGTCTTCAAAGAATCAGGAATCGATAGGAACCGGAATCGAAACGAGGAAATGGAATCAGAATCGTTCAAAATCAAATGATGCCCAACCGTAATAATAATAAAAGAAGTTCTGGACTTTATGTGTGTTTATGTTTTTCACTGGAAACTCTGAACGTGTGAAGCTTTTATTTTCCTGAGTGACTGAAAACATTTACCAGGAAGTAGAAACAAGTTGAGTTTCCTCTTTTAGCTCTGAGGGGTTCCAGTGGAAAATGGGCGGAATGGGAAGTGGAAACGGGAATATTTTAGTCTCCAAGCAGGTTTTAGGTTTTATTAGAGGAACCTGAGAATGGAGCGCCCGGAAAGTCACAGAAATGAATAATCAGCTAAAGTATGAGTTCAGTCAGGTTTACTAGAGGTGTGTGTGTGTGTGTGTGTGTGTGTGTGTGTGTGTGTGTGTGTGTGTGTGTGTGTGTGTGTGTGTGTGTGTGTGTGTGTGTGTGTGTGTGTGTGTGTGTGTGTGTGTGTGTGTGTGTGTGTGTGTGTGTGTGTGTGTGTGTGTGTGTGTGTGTGTGTGTGTGTGTGTGTGTGTGTGTGTGTGTGTGTGTGTGGGTGTGTGGGTGCGTGCGTGCGTGCGTGCGTGCGTGCGTGCGAGAAGGATTCTGAGACCTTAAGTTTTCTTTTTTTAATTTATGTTTAGTCTTTTGAGGAAATCGTCTCGTTTCATCCTTTCATCTGCTGGTTTTGAGCCTCATTAGTGATTTTCGTTTCTCGGCTAAACAAACCCAATCCTGGTTGGAATCTGCGACTTGAACGAAATCCTCTTTCCCGTCGGCCGAGGGCTCGCTGTGACCTGCTAATAGAAACAGTCTGAACGTTAGCTTCCAGGAGCTTACTCTATTAATCGGACTCGTCGTTACGGTTACTGGTGCTGGTCTTCGAGGTGCCGGGTCTCCTGAAACCAGTTCCTATGAAAACAGAAATGTGGATCAAGTTGACTTTTCTCTCTTTATAATTTATATTTTACTGTGAAAGGCACAGAGTGTATTTCATATTAATTTAATAATGACCTGAAATAAAGCAACATATTTCTATCATTGTGGTGTTTAACAACCCCAGATATTAAGTATGTGTGCGTCTGGAACCCCCCCCCCCCCCCCCCCCCCCAGGTCCCTATGACAACAGGACCGTCTATGAAACCCTGGACATCGGATGGCAGCTACTGCGAATCTTCCCCAAGGAGATGCTCAAGAGGATTCCTCAGAGCACTCTGGCTGAGTTCTACCCCAGGGATTCCTCCGCCCGCCACTGAGGGGGTCCAAGCCCCTCCCCCAACCCCCACCTTCCTGTTATCCTGCATCTTTGACTGCCTCCAGTAAGTCGGAGGCAGGTGTTCTCCAGCCTTTACTCATCCCAAACTTCAGTCCCACTTTTCCTATGACACCCCCTCCCACCACCACCCTAAAGGAGCACAGAGCTGAGGTGTCCCTGGTGTGTAGATGTTCTGTAGTGTTTCAGTGTTCTGAAGTGTGGATGAAACCTTCTGGTGGTTCTAAAACCTTCTGATTGCATCCTGATCATTTCAGATTGGTCTTTTTTATCGGCTCGTGTTGCTATTCTCATCTTCTTCCTCTTTTATTAAGTTCTATAAACGATCCCACGAGGAAAAGAGAAGAAAGATGTAACTTTCAGAGCTGAAGGTGATTTTACTGACGGGTCGCAGAGAGGAAGCTGCTCGTTTCCACAGGAAACACCTTCAGTAAATTCACTCCAACCTGAAACAAGTGGAGATCAAAAAGGTCCAGTTTCCCACAATCCTTTGCTTCTTTTGCCTCCTCTCTGAAAATGGTGTAAATTTACATTATCTGTGTTTTGTTGAGTCTATAAAAGTATATGAAACATTCCCAGCTGTGTGCGGTAACAGATTCTGTGTGAAAACATGTTTTGTGTCTGTGAATAAATTAAATTATATGTGAAAACTTGTTGCCCGTCTTTATTATTAGAAATTAAAACACTAAGACTTTTAGACATTTAGCTCATTTCCTGTCCACTGAAAACTAACCACTAAAATGTTTTAGTTAATGATGGTTACTTAAACGTATAATCGGTTTAACCGTTTGAAGCTGATCTAGCTGTCCTCAGTCGTCAATGCCGTTAAAGCTATTTCTCTGAACTGAGGTTGTTCGTGAAGCTGTAACAGGTGAGCATAGAAACGGACTCAGAACGGCAGGTGGGCCTTGAAGTGTTTTCCTCTGAAGTCCTTCCTGACCATCAAATGTTATTTTCCACTCGTTCCATAATGTCCAGCTGTGTCTCGTGTCTTTTACGGCCGAGGGGGGTGAGCCCTGCCTTATCAGGAGCGCGAGCCCGTGCACCTGAACCAGGTGCGTCCGAGAGGACCTCACTTCCGGTGAACTTTGACTCAAGACTCGTCATGGCTGCAGAAGAGTTGGAGAAACTTCAGGTGGTTTCGGACCTGACGAACCGAGGTAAGGTTCTGCAGCGTTTCAGCCAGGTGTTAGGCGCCGGGTTCCGTTTTAAAATGTCGTGATTCAAATAAATGAAAAGTGTCGTAAGAACGACTCCGATTTACTGAGGAGTTATTTCCTGTTCTTAGAACCGGGTTAATTATTGCGTCATGCTTGTAGGAGATTTAATGGCAAAACAAATTTATTTTCAGCTGATTTCTTCTGCTTAAGCTGAGATGGAAGAGTAGAGTGGAAACAGGAAACCACCTCAACCTTTAGTAGGATCCAGTATGAACGAGTTACAGAAGAAAAAACTGTTTGGGCCAGATGCACTGATCCCGGTTCTGGAAGCCGGTACCGGTTCTGAGGGATGATCCAGGCTCGGAATGCTGGTACCAGTTCTGAGGGCTGGTACTGGTTTTGAGGGCTGGTTCTGCAGGATGATCCAGGTTACCGAATCAATGTCTGAATGCTGGTGACAAGCCACAGATTTACAGTCAGGTGGAGCAACAAAGCGTCTGCTTTTAATGTCACGCCTGATACTTTATTGTTATTGTTTTGGAATGCTTTGTAATTCCGAAGAGACAGGAGACAGGTGAAAGAGAAAGGAAGAGACAAAAGAGGGAGGGGGGGTCCACAAAAACAAACTATGATGAACAAGAGTCTGCTTCTGGACCTGCAGAAAAGGCACACACAATACAACAGGAGCAAGCTATCACTACATCAACCTGACGAGGAAATATAAAATCAACATTGTTTTACTGAACAAACATGATAATAAATCACAGTGCATTAAGTGCCAACCACAGCCTAAAGACGTGTTGAACTTGCCCAAGTCCATACTTATGAAAGCACCATGTGAGCACCTGTGTGTGTACACGCGCTTGTTTATGTAAGGTTTCTCTATAGGAGCGTCCAATAGAGAGTGTGAGGGGCCACAGATCCGCCCCCCAAAGATGTGTAGGAGATGGAGGCTGGTTCTGAGGGCTGGTACTGGTTCTGAGGGATGATCCGGGTTCTAAGGGCTGGTACCGGTTCTGAGAGCTGCTACCGGTTCTGAGGGCTGGTACCGGTTCTAATGGGGAAGATCTGTTTTTGCTAGCCTGGATTAGCGCTTAGCGGTGTTGAGTTCACTGACTGGGTTGTTTATTGTAGTTTGGTATGGGACAAAAAGACATTTTTCAGTTTCATCATTTTATTTAAACGTGGTTGTGGGATCTAGTCCCCCTCAGTCTGTCACAGTTGTTGTGTCCTTGGGCAAGACCCTCACCGGCTTTGATGATGGTGGTCAGGGGCGGCGCCAATGTTCCGTAGCCTCGCTTCTGTCCGTGCGCCCCAGAGCCTAGCTCACCACCATCAGTGTGTGAATGTGTGAACTCCCACCTGTTAACTCTGTCGGTGGACTCTTACCCTTGGTGTTGGTCTTGGTCTGGTGGTTCCAGTCAGAGCAGAACTGTATCTGCAGATCATCAGGTGTCAGAACCAGAACCAGACCTGCTGCAGGGCTTCAGCCTTTAACACCTTAATGTGTCTTCGAAGGCAGAAATTCACCTGATTGCTGAGATGGGGACGAGTGTGTGATCACTTTGACTTGAAGCCCAAGCTAGAAAAAGGTTTTAAAAGTTGTAAAAAGTCCAACATGTGACGATGTGGGTCATCACCAGATCACTCTAGTAAAAGTCCTCCTGTGTTGTTTAAACTGACACCAGGAGCAGTTTAATGCAGCATCGTTCTTATTCCTGAGCTCGTCTAGACGAAGTTGTTCTAAGATTACCGAGCAGCACGAGACCAGAGCATCACCGGCTGAGCAGCTGTCACATGCTGCAGGAGTTTCCGTGTGAGACGGGCTCTCTGTGCCTCTCGTGCTTGTGTTACTGGGATGAAGATGGCTTACTGGCATCCTCTGCTTCCCACAGCGTTGCAGGAATATGAGGATCTGCAGAAGAAGAAGGAGACGGCGATCTCCACGGTAAGTGTTCACATCTGTTCTGGCTTCCCACAAAAATACATCAGAAGAACAAACTAACTCCTTTTTAGATTCAAGTCCAACTCTTTACTAAAAAGTCTCGATGCGTTTTACAGAATGATGCATAAAAATGAGAATTAAAACAACTACAATACCCATCATGCCTTGTGTATAAAAGCTGTATTATAGTTTAGATTTTAATAATAAAGAAATAACTTCTTATAATTTATATAATCTTTGGGTTCAGGTTGACTTTAACTGGAGAACAAATAATAATAATAATAATAAACATATTTAATTAGGTTTAGCTGTTTAGACTTTTAATGTGAAGTAAGGGCCAGGCTGTGGGCTGATTTACTTTGTGTTGTTTTAATAATTAAAAATGGTCGGGTTTTAGTTCTAAAACTAGTTTATTTTATTTTTTAACATTTCAACCTAAAAATCAAAAGCGTGAAACAAAAAGAGAGATCTCTGTTTTTCACCTGAGTAGCTCTAAAATGATTAGAAAGAGTTAAAAGTATTTATTAGGATCTAAATATCCAGATGAGTTCTAAACATGTGATGCTGATTCTGTTCTCAGCACATGATCTGTTATAGGGTTAAAATTAAAAATATCTTCATTTCCCTCAGAAGGAAATCCGATTCCCATGAAGAAACTCCAGAATGTCTGATTCCAGCTGCTTCTGAACATTCCGGAATATTCAGAAAACTGATTAGAGGAAGTGATGAAAAGTTGCTGTAAGTTCATTTTTTATTTATTTATTTTTCTAGTGCCGGAGGCTGGAGGAGGAGAGAGACGAGGCTGTAAAGAAGCTGAATGAATTCCAGCAGGGTGAGTCCGACTCTTCCACTTCAGGGATTCTCCTGAAAGGAAAACCTATACAGGGACGAGCCTAGTGGGAATTCTGTCTAATGGGATGTAGATCTAACGGGTCACTCTGAGTGTTTCATGCAGGCTGAACATGAAAATAGTCTCCTACACCTATCTCCTGCATTAGCTTCTGATAGAAAACAGACGGTGAAACTAGGATAGAAAATCTTAACATTCATGGACTCACCCATCTGGACTCACGACGGGGAAGGCTGTTGTTGGTTTAGTCCAGGAAACAGCAGAACGTCTCAGCTAGTAGAAGCTAACTGTTAGCATTAGCAACTCCACCACACAGCAGAACTCCTCCAGGCTTGTGTTATTGGTGGAAATAAAACATCAATGTTGCAGAGCAGACAGAGTTAGTGGTAGAGTCGTGTTTCTGTTAGCCAATCAGAGGAGAGATGTCCACATGTCAGGAAGTAAGACTCCAAAACCTGCCATATTCTGCTCGTCTCTGCTCTGGCTCACTTCTAGTCCCTGAAACAAGAGCACTTTTTTTATCCAGAGATCGAGTCACAAGGTGTTCATTTATACTAGAGACTGCTGCAGATGTGTTGAATCAAAAAGTGAACTTAGTCTTTAAATTTTTTGTATATTTATGACATGATAACCCTGCAGCTGGAGGTCAGCTGACCCAGGATCTGAAAACTCTGACAGAAATTTTAATGTAATCTGTTATAAAATGAACATCAGTCAGAAGGTCTCTTTACAATGTTTATGTTTATTTATTTAGCAGATGCTTTTATCCAAAGCGACTGACTATTTATAACCTATAGGGCATATTGTGATCTGTGGGGGAAACCGGAGTACCCGGAGGAAACCCACGCGTGCATGGGGAGAACACGCAACTCCACGCAGAAAAGCCACAGCCGAGCCGAGTTTCGAACCTGCAACCTTCGTGCTGCGAGGCAACAGTGCTAACCACTGTGCCACCGTGCAGACACTTTACTAAGTCTGTGTTCATCTGAAGGGCCAGATGATCAAACCCACCTTGATGATAAACATCTTTATAATGCTGATTCTGATGCTCTTATTCTGAAAGCCTCATCTGATTAGTGCTTGTTTCCAAACTTAATCTAAACCAGCGGCGTGTTTTCACCAGCAGGAGCACTGGTCCCACCTCCTCTCAGAGCGAGAATCTGTGTCCCAGTTGTGCAAATACTCCTCAAATGTTTTGGCCCACCATTCAATCCTGCAGAACGATTTTCCTTACAGGTTGAATGCTTTGATGCGACCACTTTAGGGAAGACAGAGCATGAAACAGGGCACCACATGTCAAAAGACGGAGCAAATAGTTTGTCTTTGTGATGGTGACAGTTGTGTAGATTTTCATCTGAATAAATCTGCCATGTGTCGGTGGATTCAATGCTGCTGCAGCCAAAACACATATTGTGTTTGACTTACGCATTAATAGAGGCTGCCTCTCTGTGCCAAGCAGCTGCATATTAGGACCTATTACGTGATTTCATAGCTCTTAGAAAATTGCTCCTATTCACAGGGAATCGGCTGGGGGTGGGGCAGCGTGGCTGGTGTGGGGGGTGGTGGGGGAGGACAGGAGAAAAAGCCCCCAACACACAATCATGCCTTTTCAACCAGAGATGGCAAGGTTGATGACAACATGACCATTGTGTTATAATGATAACACCACAAAGGCATCTGCCCCCCTCATCAAGGCTTTACAGAAGCCTCAGATACAATTTAATTCACTGCTCTGTTGGCGGCGCTGATACCATTATGCAGCACGTCGGCGCGGGCTAATCACTGTCTCTCCTGAGAGCAAAATTAAAAAAGACGAGCACAAAAAAGACGGGAGAGCAAGATGGAGTGATGATGATGGGGAGGCCGAAACTTACAATTAAGACTTCTAGTTCTGACGTGTCACTGGTAGCCTGGCGCTCACACACTCCCATCTCTGTTTATTTACCGTGGCTACCAGTAATTAGATTTAACATATCATTTAGTCACCGGCGTCCCTCCGTGGGCTGTGGCCGCGGGAACGGAGAGCAGCTCCAGCTGCTGCAGGAGAGCACCAGAGGAACGTGGATATCACCCGGCTCTGCTCTTCATCTACGTCTTAATTAGCTGTCACTGGGGGAAGGAGCGGCCCACATAAATGGCACTAAGACTTAATTTCTACCTCGCTCAAACACAATGATTAATTAGTTAAGTAGCGGGAAACTCACCGAGGTTACTTCTGTCTGCTGCCAAAGGTGCTTTGATTGCTGCTTTAAGCATTACACTTTATTTTATTTATTTTTAAATGACTGAGATTTATTTTACAGCTGAAGTCAGAATGTCTAACGTCCTCCTGAGACACCTCCGTCCTCGTCCCCTAAAGGGGACGTCAGTATCTTCCACTATCATCATTTACTCTAAACCGTCTTTTGTTATTCAGACAGACTGGAATTAAAATTTTATCTTATTTATTTAAGGAAACATGAAATGTTTTTATTTTTAATTTAAAATTACTAAATGTAAAAAAAAACTGCTTGTTTCTGTGACGTCTGAAGCAGCTGCAAGATGTAGAGCTAGATAGGAAAAACACAGTAAACTGGTGGATGGATGGATGAATGAATGATGGATGGATGAGTGGGTAGATGGATGAATGATGGGTGGATGGATGAGTGGGTAGATTGATGAATGATGGGTGGATGGATGAGTGGGTACATGAATGAATGTTGGATGGATGGATGGATGGATGAGTGGGTAGATTGATGAATGATGGGTGGATGGATGAGTGGGTACATGAATGAATGATGGATGGATGGATGGATGGATGAGTGGACAGATGATGGATGGATGAGTGGGTAGATGGATAGATGAATGGATTAGTGGGTGGCTGGCTGGATGGATGGATGAGTGGGTAGATAGATGAGTGATGGGTGGATGGATGAATGATGGATGGATAAGTGGGTGGATGGATGAATGATGGGTGGATGAGTAGGTAGATGGATGAATGATGGATGGATTGATGAATGGATGAGTGGGTAGATGGATGCATGATGGGTGGATGGATGAGCAGGTACATGAATGAATGATGGATGGATGGATGAGTGAATGGATGATGGATGAATGATGGATGAATAAGTGGTTAGATGGATAGATGAATGGATGAGTGGGTGGTTGGATGATGGGTGGATGGATGAGTGGGTAGATGGATGAAAGATGGATGGGTGGATGAGTGGGTTGATGGATGAGTGATGGGTGGATGGATGAATGATGGGTGGATGAGTGGGTAGATGGATGAATGATGGGTGGATGAGTAGGTAGATGGATGAATGATGGATGGGTGGATGAGTGGGTTGATGGATGAGTGATGGGTGGATGGATGAGTAGGTAGATGGATGAGTGATGGGTGGGTGCATGAGTGGGTTGATGGATGAGTGATGGGTGGATGGATGAATGATGGGTGGATGAGTGGGTAGATGGATGAATGATGGATGGATGGATGAGTGGGTAGATGGATGCATGATGGGTGGATGGATGAGCAGGTACATGAATGAATGATGGATGGATGGATGAGTGAATGGATGATGGATGAATGATGGATGAATAAGTGGTTAGATGGATAGATGAATGGATGAGTGAGTGGCTGGATGATGGATGGATGGATGAGTGGGTAGATTGATGAATGATGGTTGGATGGATGAGTGGGTACATGAATGAATGAATGAATGATGGATGGATGAGTGGACAGATGATGGATGGATTAGTGGGTGGCTGGATGGATGGATGGATGAGTGAGTAGATAGATGAGTGATGGGTGGATGGATGAATGATGGATGGATAAGTGGGTGGATGGATGAATGATGGGTGGATGAGTAGGTAGATGGATGAATGATGGATGGATGGATGGATGGATGAGTGGGTAGATGGATGCATGATGGGTGGATGGATGAGCAGGTACATGAATGAATGATCGATGGATGGATGAGTGAATGGATGATGGATGAATGATGGATGAATAAGTGGTTAGATGGATAGATGAATGGATGAGTGGGTGGCTGGATGATGGGTGGATGGATGAGTGGGTAGATGGATGAAAGATGGATGGGTGGATGAGTGGGTTGATGGATGAGTGATGGGTGGATGGATGAGTAGGTAGATGGATGAGTGATGGGTGGGTGGATGAGTGGGTTGATGGATGAGTGATGGGTGGATGGATGAATGATGGGTGGATGAGTGGGTAGATGGATGAATGATGGATGGATGGATGAGTGGGTAGATGGATGCATGATGGGTGGATGGATGAGCAGGTACATGAATGAATGATGGATGGATGGATGAGTGAATGGATGATGGATGAATGATGGATGAATAAGTGGTTAGATGGATAGATGAATGGATGAGTGAGTGGCTGGATGATGGATGGATGGATGAGTGGGTAGATTGATGAATGATGGTTGGATGGATGAGTGGGTACATGAATGAATGAATGATGGATGGATGAGTGGACAGATGATGGATGGATTAGTGGGTGGCTGGATGGATGGATGGATGAGTGATGGGTGGATGGATGAATGATGGATGGATAAGTGGGTGGATGGATGAATGATGGGTGGATGAGTAGGTAGATGGATGAATGATGGATGGATGGATGGATGGATGGATGAGTGGGTAGATGGATGCATGATGGGTGGATGGATGAGCAGGTACATGAATGAATGATCGATGGATGGATGAGTGAATGGATGATGGATGAATGATGGATGAATAAGTGGTTAGATGGATAGATGAATGGATGAGTGGGTGGCTGGATGATGGGTGGATGGATGAGTGGGTAGATGGATGAAAGATGGATGGGTGGATGAGTGGGTTGATGGATGAGTGATGGGTGGATGGATGAGTAGGTAGATGGATGAGTGATGGGTGGGTGGATGAGTGGGTTGATGGATGAGTGATGGGTGGATGGATGAATGATGGGTGGATGAGTGGGTAGATGGATGAATGATGGATGGATG